ATGAAAATCATAAGTCAAATGATATGGGACGATTTTTACTACGACAGGAGATAAAGATTTTCAACATGAATTTCATGATATAGATGTAAGGCATGCTTTCAATATGATCAATCAATCTTGTAATATTCTCAAGGATTTTGCAAGGCATTTTGCAAGGCATATAAGACATTCATACAAGCTTTCGCAATTCATATAAGTCATGCTTTCGCAATTTCATGATATAGATGTAAGGCATGCTTTCAATATGATCAATCAATCTTGTAATATTGTTAAGGATTTTGCAAGGCATATAAGACATTCATACAAGCTTTCGCAATTCATATAAGTCATGCTATCAAAATGGTACAAGTCATCACTTTTCTCCCCCTTTGTCATCAACAAAAACCCCTTTGTCATCAACAAAAAAGGGAATGAGACTTGAAGCACATAATTTGTAATTATAACATTGATCATACAAAAATTTTATCATCCAAAAGTATGCTAAAATATTTACGCAGAGTTCATCATAAAGGAAAATTCAACATTCATTCATTGTATCAAATCTCTTCTTTCTATAAATAACAAAAATTGTAGGTGTACAAGGAAGAGATTATGAGTAAACAAAAATTCAAGTAGTAAGATCATAATTCGAATACAAACTCATTCAAATTCAAATTGTCAACTTGAAACTCATAATTAAGCCATCAAAATCAATTTTGAGATTCACAAAATATCATAAAATCATTAATCTTAATCAAATGGGAGCGGTGTATGACTCAAGATAGGATAAGATAATTTAACATGCCATTTAGAATCAAAAGAGAAGGATTGGATTCACCGAGGAACGGAGAGAGGATGAAAAACTTTACGGAAAATCCATTCAAACAAGTTTATTCTTAGGGATAATTTAACATACCTAATTCCCTTCTAATGAATTCAAATTGGTCTTCATTCAAAGCTTTTGTAAATATATATGCTAATTGATGCTTTGTGTCAATGAATTCTAGAACAACATCATTGTTAAGGACATGATCGCGTATGAAATGATGCCTAACATCGATGTGCTTAGTTCTAGAGTGCTGAATTGGATTTTTAGTAAGACATATGACACTAGTATTATCACATTTTATGGGAATATTTTTAAAGTGAATTTCATAGTCTTCTAATGTATTTTTCATCCAAACAACTTGTGCATAGCATGCACTTGCAGCAATGTACTCGGCTTCCGCCGTAGATAGTGCAACAGAATTTTATTTTTTGGAAGTCTAAGAAACAAGTGCATGTCCTAAAAATTGGCATGTTCTGGATGTACTTTTTCTATCTATCCTGCATCCGCCAAAATCGACATCTGCATAAGTTATTAAATCGAATTTTTCAGATTTTGGATACCACAGTCCTAGATTTGAAGTTCCATTAAGATACCTAAATATTCTTTTAAGCAATTATAGTAATTAAAACAGAGGAAATAAAACATCACGAGCAAATTCGCGACTTTCAAATGAGGAATATCTACCACCAACCTCGAAGTGTCGATCTACCGCCAAGTCGTCGTCCCTGTCATATGCCATCAAGCAAGAGATCGCTCCGAACACTGCCCCCTCGTAGGGAGTAGCATTATCCTAAAACAACAGAAGGTAAACAACGTCGAGAGGAACAAAGGAAACAAAAGTGTTCGGCAAAGACTCAAGCGGACTAGGGAGTCGGAGGCGGCACCGAGGAGACGGGAGGATTCGGCGGGGTCCTTGCCAGCGAGAAAGTGGGCTGAAAGGGCGTTGGCGAGGACGCAGGAGGGGTCGTGGCGGGCGGCACGGAGGATGACCGCTCGGTCGCGACCGTAGGCGAGCACTTGGTCGTAGTAGGCATCGATGGCGGCGATGCAGGCGTCGGAGGCTGTCCGTACTGGGTATCCCCACCGGTCGCTTCGAGTCGTCGCATCAATTCCTCCGTCCATGTCTCTCTCTCTCTCTCTCTCTCCCCCGAGCATAAATTTATACGTATAGAGTGGCGAAGAATCATCTGCTTTGCGGCTAAGATATACGATTCGCAAACCCAAATGTTCACCGATGGGTCCCATCTCTCGTTCAATGTATCTGAGTCGGCGTGGGGTTTTGGTCGAGACAAGTATTTTATGCTCAAAAAATATTTTTGTACGTGTATGTCATTCAACCGATGCACTACCAGATTTGTGTGGGACCCAGAGATAAAAACACTTTACTTTTCCCTCGACGATCATGGGGTATTCGACAGGGTAACAGAAAAGGAGGTGTGGCTATCTTTTCTCCCGAAAGGACGCCAGCGACGTCTACGTGTCAACAACATCGCCCGACGTGTCGGCGCTCAGGTGGTGTTCGAGTTGGAGATTAGGTTTGATCACAGCACATTCAACGGCTGAGATTATCCATTAATAAATGAATCACGACCGTCGGTTGCTGAAGGGTAGAACGGG